CGTGCGTCCGTTGTTCCAAGTGAAGCATTTGCTCTCATGCCCCAATCCTCGAGATCACAATAGGCTTTTTGGCCACACCGGCACATGCAGAATGCACTCGAGTGTCTTGGACCCCCTCTCACGTCCCAGCTATCCACCTTCCACAACTTTCGCTCCCCTGTTCAGCGTCGATGATCGCCTTCAGGGATTACTCAGCTGGGGAAACGATGCAGACTGTGGCTTGGACCGAAAGAGCCGAGCTGGGAGGGGCGCTCAATAGCAGGGGATGCATGGCTTGCCGGGCGGGCCTGTGCACTCTCTCCCTCTCTCTCTCTGCCTCTGTCCCCAAGCTGATAAGTCATCATCAGCTCGCGCGAGTAGCATTCTTTGTCTCGCGCCCCAGCGGAAAGCAGCACCACACCCAGTCATGAATCTCGCGATGCGCAAGCATTGCCTACATGCCGAGGCCGACAAAAAGTGGCCTGACGAGAAAACCTTGTTTTCCTGTTGTTCTTGTTTTGGTGTCCTTGACTTGGTTCAGCATGGGAAGGAGGCACTGCTCAGCTTAGCAAGGGGTGTTTTTTTTTGGTGTGTGTTTCGGCGAAGTGCGTGACTTTGTCTCTCGCGAATCCGTCTCCGGCAGGGTGCCTCTGGCCCATGTGTGATGTGACGCATTGAGCCGTGTGCACGTCCGGGTTGGTGGGTTGATTCACGGCCTCGCCGGATGCACTGCATTTGGGTGCAACGCGTGCGTGCGTGGCCGACGGGGTTTTGTCGGGCGGGTCCGGGTTTGTGGGGGGGGACCGATGTCGCGGTTGGCCTCCGAGCACAGGCGATAAGCGAGAAGCTATTCTTATCACGCTGGTGGGGATGTCATGTGGCTTGAGAGTCGAGCATGGTAGTTCACGATGCTCGTGGCAGTAAAGCTACTGCCTGCAGAGCTGAAACCCTCCTCGGTCGCGATTGTGATTCGGTGTATGCTGCTAGTATGATCAGCAGTAGAACTCAGAAGGTGAGTCCTGTAGCATGGCAGAGGAGCGACTCTTTGCAGGCAGCCGGTACACGATCTCGTCTGCTGTACGGCAGAGGTGCTTGTACTGGGCAATATTTAGCAATTATTGATGCTTGATTATACAACTCCCACACCCAACACCATGGATAACAGCTATTTTCTAAGTAATCCCACCTTACTCAAATAATGGTATTTGGGCTGAAAAGCAGAGAATTACTCAGAGCAAGGCTGTGTCAAATGGCCCGAATTGCACGACCAAGTATTCGCTTGACCTTTGGTACATATCCCCGCTCAACAATCCTCGCTCAATTTGCAACGACTAAATTAGAGCAGAAGCATAAATAATAGCCACTTGGTCACGCGATGGTCTTTTCACTTTCGAGAGCCCGTTACAGAAAGAATGCCACACGCCTGAGGCTGGCTGAGTAGCACCAGCTGCATCGTTACACTCAAGGCTGGAGGGCGACTGGGTGTGGTACAGTCGTGATCTCCGTCAGGAAGCATGATTATATGCGAGGATCACGATATGACATGCTGCAATCGGGTCTGACTTGCAAATTACGACTTTAGGGACTAAATGCCATTGTTATTGTTGCCAGGCTGTGGCGTAATCATTGAACCCCTCAAGTGTTCATGAAAATTCATCAGTAATCGAAGCTACAGCCTGAACGGGCAATCGACTGCCTCCCAGCAATTCGTGAAAATGCTGAGGAGGAACGGGACGTTCTGCGCCGCGATCAAGGCTGACTTCCATTCTCACAGGCGATGTCACCAGGCAGGCTGGAGGAATGTGCACCGTCGGCGGAACGACGAGGCTATCTCTGTACTCTGACCTAGGCAACCAGAAAAAACAAATGGGCTGGATTCGAAGTGGATAATTACTTTCATTGCTGCTTAAGCTTCGGACAAGTGGTAATAGCTTGGAGCCTTCGGGCGTCGAGCGTCGGGCGTCGGGCGTCAGGCGTCGAGTCTCGAGTCTCGAGCACCAGAAGCGCAAATAAGCGCCGGCCACGACGAGATCCTTCAGCCTACCGCTGCCACCACGGCTGCGTTTCATCAAGCGCACATCGTCTACCCAGTCAATCAGCACCCTCCCGAAATACCAACCCTCATCATACTTCATAATGCACCTTCTGAACCCCCTCCAGACCCGCCTGCGGCCGCCAGGCGTCAAGGACAGCAGAAATCCTGTCGCTTACGCCAGAGGGATCAAACCCGGCGCCTACACGCGCTCGTGCGCTGCCAATCCCCCAACTCCACACTCTCATTGGGCTCGCTAACCGCAAAGGCGCATAATCAAACATTCCTCCCTCGGGCGTGAGCCAAGCAACGACATGCAAACCCAAGATTCCTTCCAGCCTCGTCAAATGAGCCTGCATCTACCGAGCCAGATTCCCGGACCCCAAGCTAGCCTGCCCTTCCTTACCAAGCTTGGTATGAACGCCAAGTGTCCGTCGTGATCCAGATTTCTGGCATTCTCAGCCCATGACGCGTTATAAAAAAAAAGCCTCCAAGAACAGCCACCCTCTCGGCATCTCAGAGCCCGCCCATCTGGACCCCGATCCCAGGGATCCGGTCACCCGTGGCGTATTGAAGCGACCGTTCGGTGCGCGGAGGTGCCACGCTACATCAGAAACGACCGGCGAAACGCAAAAACAGGAGAACCACCCTGCCGCGATAGGAGACATCCCTAAGATTCAAGCTCACCTTCAAAGAATGGTGAGACCTTGGGGGGTCTTCTAACCCATCTGCCATGCTGCGCGCTTCCGGGCTGCAGCTGGCGTCTTCCGGGTCCGCCGTGCTGTGGGGGGGGGGGAGAGGCCCCTCCACCCGGCCGCTTGCGGAAGGGTGGAGTAGGGGGGTGCACGGTACGGTGTCTAAGGGGCCCGGTCACCCACCCAACGGATGCGGGAGGGGCTTCTTTTGTCTCTCGCTCCTCTTGCTCCTTGCGGCGGACGGTAGAGGCTCTGCCTAACGTGGACGTACTAGAAAGGACGGAGAGAGAGATTGGATTGGGAAAGAAGCATGGCGTCGGGGAGTCGGGGCCCAGGTGCGCGGTTCTGGGACCAGGTCTCGGCAGATGCTAGGGTGTGATTGTTCGTGATGAGTCGACGATGCTGCTTCGTGTGATGCATAGCTCCGTGTGCGCTGTGATGTTCATCGGTGCTTTGCTGTGTCTGCCCTACCGATGGCGTGCCGTCTGTGTGGTGCTGGATGCGGGTGTGCTGTTTGCTAGGGACTGTTGTCGACTAGCATTCCTCCCGTTGTCCGAGGGAAGCACTCCGTTGGGGGAGGCACTCTCGTTATCACGATGCATCTCACGCTACCAGGAGGCATGAACCCTGGCCGTTGTGTCTCTCCTGGTCGGTACCCTCCTACAACCTTGTCAGCCTTGAAGGGTCGGAGAATTGGCCAACAGCTAGACAGACAACCCACCCGTCCACCTACAACGACGACCCATCTCGTACGCTCACCTCGTGCTCCCCCAGACATGCCATCCAACCACTCGGGAAAGCCACGCGCCGCCACATGGCTCTCCGCTCACCACAT